CTTTCAGAACATGATATTCTTCTATTTCTGTTAAGAAATTTGTATTGTAGATTTTTTCTAATATAGTAATTTTTACATTATTAAATGGATGTTTATTAAAATGATTTATTTTTATCGAATGAGGAAAACCCTTATTGTTTTGTGATCTATGTAGGTTAATCCTTAAATGTAAAGGATTAGTTGTTTGTCCTACATATTTAAGGCCACATATACCACAAGTTAATAAATAAATCATATTACCTGCCTTACATATTGGTACATTTTGAAACTCCATGGCTGCCGGACAGGTTAAACATCTGGAACTTCTGCAAGTAAATGTTTTATATATATTGATGTAGAATATTTTAATCAACTAATTAATAGCTAGCTAGGTTATTAATCAGTATACAAAGGCAACAGAATATTCCTAAAATAGGAAACAAGAGAAAAGGGTGATAAAATCAACACCTTTACATAATTTTTCTTTAAATAAGTTCCCCAGTGGCACAGCGGTACAACTATGGACTTATACTGCAAGAAACCGGGTTTTCGATACCTGTGGTGGGCAGAGCACAGATAGCCCTTTGTGTAGCTCTGTGCTTAATAACAAACAACAACATCCTTTAAATAAATAGCTTACAAACTATTGATTACATTAATTGTTTATAGGCGATTAAATCAGCACTACAAAACAATAATGAATTAAATATCGCAATGCCATTATCAGTCCTGGTTGTCAGTTTATTGTCATAATGAATAATGTCTGTGGTAATAGCACCCAAATGCATTGGGGATATCATTGGGGATTAAATCAGCACTACAAAACAATAATGAATTAAATATCGCAATGCCATTATCAGTCCTGGTTGTCAGTTTATTGTCATAATGAATAATGTCTGTGGTAATAGCACCCAAATGCATTGGGGATATCTCATCTATCAGACAATATCCAAATGCCGGCATCAATCTAGTCAGCTGTCATGGAAAATCAAAAAATAACTCATCAATCATTTAGTTTTTATACAATTGAACACCTAAAAAGACATGCACAATAGAGATTATCACCTGTATTTGTTTTTAATATAAGTGTTGCTCTAGCTCATTTTTATGTTTTTTCTTAGGCGAACCTATTCCCAGAGAAGACAACATCAAGCTGCAAGGAAAATTCAACAGTTTATGAGACAATCCAAAAATAAGTGAGTTATAGTATTCATTAATTTTTTTAAATTTCTAATTTGTTTAAGTGCATTATGTTTATGGTATATGAATCCAATCAGTAATCATCTTTGATGGATATAGTCATGCTTTAGTATGATCTTGTCTGAAAAAAGCTACTACATGTAACCTGCCACCTTTACGTTACTTTTGTTTGCATATTTTTATAGGTGATAGCTCTAGCTTTGCAGACTAAGGTTAAGATTTGGTTGGAGAGTAAGCATTTTTCATATTTAATTCTGTGCTTAGACTAATATGTGTATACATCTGTAACTGTAATAACTGTCTTCTTGTCTTAGAAAAATGTTCTTTGGAGAATTCGTAGGTAACTTTTTTGTGTTTCTGTGGATTATTCAAATTTTATGTTTCTGCATTACTAAGATTAAAATGTGAGACAATTTATAACTTTTGTGTGATAATGATAAGATTTTAGTCATTATCGCTGTCGTGACGTAGTAGGCAGCATAATCGACTTCTCCAACTAACCATTCCCCATCTTTCTTTCTTCATTGCTATCCTTTCAAAGCGTGTGGGACTTGCTGCATGGGAGAGCGGTGAGTTCTAGTCAGAAAACAGCTTCTATATCATTTTATCTGGGGAATTATCAACAACAAAAAAATACACATTTATTTTACAGAACCTTTTAATTTTTAACTATTGTCTTAGGTGGAAACATATATATCTCAGAAACAAAGCATTCATTTGATAATTTTTGGAATTTAAAGACTTATTATCTAAAGCTTGCAAATCAGATATTAATTTTTAACTCCCTTTTTTATTATTGCTTTATTAAAACAGTAAATGTATGCAAAAGCATTGTTCTGTATACATTTTTTAAGGTTACCAGTAAATTAATGCTGGAAGTATTAACAATGACTCTTATTTTAAATCCTCACTTAAAATTGGAATATTATGTTTCTTAGAATTAATATAAAATTATAACTACAACACAAATTACAGTGACTAATAGAGGATATTATCTTATGCATAATCGTTTATAGATATTTCATAAACATACAAAATTATATGTTATACAACAGTGAATATATACAGAGGATTAAATTGGGCCAGAATGCAGCAAAATAGCATTCCCTTTTCTTTGTATTTTGGCCTGTAGTGTGCCTGCTTCTCTGATAGTGATTTAACAACCTTAATACGATTGGTGTGTGTGTATATATATATATATATATATAT